TTTAAAAATACACTCCGAAAAATGATTACGGCACTGGAGAACAAGTTATGTATGTTGATAAATAATTCTGCCACGTTGGCGATGTAACGACCCTTTCCATTGGCTTATAACAACAATGTAATATTATTGGACAATAAACAATACGCGTGCATGTATCTAACAAACCGTGCAAAGCTTCCGAAAGCTGTAGGTTATTAGTGCATTTGATGTTTTGAAATAAGAATTTTGTATAAGCATGACGTCACTGTGAAGTGGTGATTGTTAACTTAGTCAATGAATTGGCAAAACAAAACAACTGCGGACATGGCGACGGTCAATGAATCGTGTGGGACTTTCAAACCCAAAACTGGTTTCACAAAGCCAAATTATGGACCTTCATCAGCTTAAAGGTGGTAAGAGCTCAGATTGACAAATGTTTGCACGCGCAAAACAACAACACGCGATTGATTTAAAATATCCGGGCAATGAGCAAGAAGACATTTTAGGTGTGAACAAATGATATTTTTAAAACGGTCACTGCCGGTCAAATAAACGTGATACCTTCATATCAGAACCTAGGCGTTTCAAACTGCGTTAGCGAAAAGTACTCCACTGGTGATAATCTTTAAGTCAATTATTAACTGAAGCTTTTTTGAGTGATTTTAGACTTACGTGAACGTAGGATTTGCCAAACCAACAACGATTTCACAACCAGGATATAACTGTTCTCAGTTTCAGATCACGGGGTCGCTTGTGATTTAAAAATTACAAAAAGATGTCCGTTAAAAGCTGTTACGCTATTTCCCAACAATCAGTGAAATATATTCGGCTATAAATGCATAAACCGGGATACATAAATATAGTTTTAGGGCTGTAGGAATACTCCCACATTAGGACCATGTACAGGTACCCTTCTACGTTATGAATATCTGCATCAAATGGAGACTAGTGCAACGATCTCGGGTAGAAATTGTGTTTTGTATTTGATTAGACTCGACGCCATACAGATTTGAGGGATTTTAATTTCTAAAATGCTCTAAAAATAAGAATTTTCCAAACAAATTTAATTCGTGTTTGCTTAATTATCATTAGTTATTATTACTAAATGTATATATTTATGCTAAAACATATGTCTGTTTGTTTGACTTTTTTTTAATGGAAAAAAACCCTATTAAAATGATCGCAAATATCAATAATTGGTAAGGAGGTGCATGCATTTCTGCAGATGATTGAATTGAATTCAATTGAATAACATGTAGTACATACAATTCATATACATAATACGAAAGGTATGGACTATTTTTTTTCAATCATATCCAAACTTATTCGATAGTGGATACTCGCAGCCATTGTCACAAACACGCAGTACCAGTTTTCCATCCTTTTATTTAATATACGGATGATGATGATGATGTGGTGATTCTTTTTATTTATTATATATAACTTTTAACGACTTTTCCGTTCTTGTTTTTTTTTGTCTTTTCTTTCTGTTTCTTGGATATTTTTTTCTCAAGTAAGGTTGTCAAGATATTTTGGTCGTTCATTGCTCAAATTGAAATGAAAGCTTACAGAACATCCTTTTTGTTTATCTAAGCATTGATGGGAACTTTGAACAATTATCACGAAGAGGAATTAGTCCGAGTAGCAGCGAATTCTTTTAAATATTTTCACAAAGTTTACAATAAACCATTGATTATCCGAAATAATATCAATTGTACACAGTCGAATCACACATGCGATGCAATGTCGAAGTCGGTTGCTTGGTAACGATATTATGCTGCAACATTTTCAAAAAAATGGCTGATGAAATTTAAATATTTGATATCAAAATAAATTTAAGAAAATCGTTATTGATATTGAAACTCATTTAAGTATAAAGCTATATCTTCATATTGTATTATACCGACATTTCACGTTTTCTTCTATTTACATAATATATCGGTACACCGGATGTGTTTACTGCGAGGTGATATCTGTATCTTGGTCATTACTCATCCTCTGTAATCTCATTTGTATATTTCGGCAACACATTTTTTCATTTTGTTTTCTTTATATCCGAACAATCTCACGTTTTGATGCTGTGAAACATCCCCCAAAATCCAACAATTTGATATCTTATCATCTAATATCCAACTGACTTTGTGCAACTTCAGCAGTTTTAAATATTCTCATTTTGTTATTACTCGATAGAGCGGTCCCTAACCGGAAATAGCAGTACGATTGTCGATATCGGACGTGAATGGCATTGTAATAGTCGTGGGATAAAGATCAGCCACGTTGCAAGTAAACTCATGGTGAAGGCAATATACAGTCACTCTTTCATTCCTTATCAGATTTTAGTTGGAATTCTAACACTTGAGGTAGTACGATGCCGGTATTACTGTCTACAGATAGGACGCATTTGTCATAATTTGTCGGTTTAAAAGCCATACACAGGACGTTTCATTGACAAACGTGTTTTTTTTTGTATCTATAAATCAAATTTTAAAATTTCACATTAGACAAAATTCAAAGAAAGCGTATCCCTGTGTCTATAAATCAAAGCCTACATATGGGGTGATGGAGCGACAGCGGGACGACTGGCAATCCACATGTTATCAGACAGGCGCTTGTATAATATCTGATGCATAATAAGCGGCAGATACACGAATTAAAACATATTATTAGTCGTTATACATACAACCAATTCTCACATTACATTTACAGAGTCTTTACACAGAAACGCTTGTCGTTCTTTGGTTGTGCGATCTGAATCAAGAGAGCGCATGTCTTGTTTACTAGATAGCATGAAGGCAATTAAAATGCACATATGTAATCTATCACTGACTTAATCATCCCTCTGTAGAGAAAAATCTTTAACAGTTTCCTTGCAACATAAAAAGGCTTTTATACAACCGTATTGTGTTCACCAGCAGGCAGGCCCACCATCACACACAATCAAACTCTATTTACACAAGCTCGCGATCGGTGAGCCGTGACCAGGGTTAGAAGCTGGGACTAAGCCATTACCTATACAGGTACATTGATTATGGAGGCTGTCGGGAGTTTTATGATAACAAACAACACCATTCGTGTAGGTAACAACACAGACTCTCCTTCCCTTCACCGGAAGTTATAAAAGCACTAGTGCAGCAACCTCCGCCTTCATAGACAAACATGGCGGCCACAATGGCAGTGACTCAATGTCCCACCAGAAAGCGTACAATAGTAATCTTTGTTGGTGATTGGTGACTGAATGGAAACCACAACACATGTCTATAAAAAGCATAGTCTGTAAGGGTGGAAACAACCATAGACATTTAATGGGATAAAAACACAGACGATTATAAGGATAGAGAAACCATACAATGTCACTATCACAGACTGCTAGTAATTTAGCTACCCACAACCAATATTGACAGGGGTACTGGTCGTTCTCTCTCTCTCTTTATTTATTCCAGTCCTGTTCCTGTTGACACACAAGGTGCTGTATCACCAACACTATACACACCTAAAAATGTCGTCACAACCAATCTGACTTGGTAAAGACAAGGGGATGATTCTCAACACGTGACTGTTATTTGAGAAGGAAACACCACAGACAAATACTGAAACACGAGACCATGTACCCGTGTGACTTTCGATCGCTGCATAAAACTGTTGAACAATGTCGTCATAGTTATTGAACTCCTTAAAACTCAGCGTACCGACAGGTAGAATAAGAGTCTAAAGTCCAACGACCGGCCGCGATACTCGGTGTAAATGTATTATGCAATCTTCTGTTCATGTTATAGTCTATTTCATGGCGGTTTTTTTTTCTAGATAGTTGATGTTTTGCTATCGCGTGGGGTCGTGCCAGAGACCAGATTTTGGACAGACGGGTGTGGTCATTATTGGGGCAGAGGATTGTGGTCAGTTTTAGGACAGACGGGTATGGTCAGTTTTGGGCCAGAGGGGTGTAAACAGGGCTAGGATTTACGGGTGTGGTCAATTCTGGGATAGAGGGTGTGGTCAGCTCTGGGATAAAGGGGCGTGGTCAGTTCTGGGATAGAGGGGCGTGGTCAGTTCTGCGATAGAGAGGTGTGGTCAGTTCTAATCGGCCATAGTAATAATTATATGTCTCTTAACAACTCGCTGTGCTGAGTAAGATAGAAATATGATTAAGACTATAGGGCTGACGATAAACCCGTATATCATATTCTGGACAGGTGAATTTGTACCGAATATCAGTCATGGTATACGTGACAGACGAACATGCTTCGTCACACCGTTTCACATGTTCATTATTAGGTCAGTTGATCATGTATGAAGATGACCAATAATGGCCGGTATGCAATATAACTGACTGTCTTGTTCTGAAAAGACATCGAAGAGTTGCATTTGTAGAATTATCCCAACTGTCTATGTAACATTACAAATCTCAATTTTGATAAATAAACTGTGTACGTTTGACCAGAGACGTATATATACGTCTCTGGTTTGACCTTTGAATTTGGTTTGTGATACACGCTATTTTAGCCTAACACGGCGACACAACAATGATCGCCACACCAAGCCTCGTAGTGGCGGCTAAGGACACCACAAATAGCACCGGTCTAGCTGTATTGCGACCCTTACTAACATTGTTACATATCTAAATTTAAATCTAGTTTACGTGTTTGTCAATCAGTTTTGAAACATGCAAAAAGTGTGTTATTTGGGGGAAAATATTTCAACTAAAACTTATCTATATTAGGTACATTTTCTTTGTATGTGGCCTAATTGAGATGACATGTCCTAATTGTAGGAAAGTCAAGGTTAAGTAAAACACATTTTCAGGTAGGATGCGGAGATGGCGGGTCTGAGGGACGTTTGAATGGGTTTGAGGAATAATATATATATTGGTCTACATACCATTACCGGCCTTTCTGAGTACAAACAACCACTTTGTCTATAGACCTGTACCAATAAATGTCAAAATGGACACCTGTTTCGTCCCTAGAATTTAACTTTGTAAGAACAGTAGATTTCGAATATTTATTTTCGTAAATTCACTATTGCAGGTGCGGAATCGATACGGCCATCGTCAACAATGAAGGCAACACAGCAGAGGATGTGCTCCTCAAAGAGAAGCCGGACGGCTGGCAGGAGATGCAGCACTGGTACAACAAATACAAACCAGGTATGTTACTCCGCCTAAACATATAAGCTATAACCCAGAGATAAGTTAGTCAAATAATTGTCATCTACAAGTCAAATACAGCCCGAGTAAAAAAGTCAATTACTCACCATATAAAGTTTAAATGCAAACCAATTATAATATGTAATTTCTTTGTCATATACTTATCGAATTCAGTCCGGGCGATACAGTCTCACACTTTTAAGTATCTAGGTGAATTACTGAGGGACCTAAGTATTTTGGAAAGTAGGACAAATATACAATTTATCCGCATAAAGATAAATACAGCTCAGATAATTAGATAACTTATAACTTGACGAACAAAGTCTATATCAGCGGGTCAAACCAGTTCATAAATAGGTCAGAATCACCTCTGGTAAGTTCACGAAAAAAGGTCAAATGCAGTTGATATACAGGTAAAGATGCAGCCAGGATAAGTAGGTCAAGATGAGTTGATATACGGGCAAACTAATGCTAAGATACAAATGTAAGTAACTCAAGTAACGATATCTAGGAAAAATACAGCCCTTAAAAGTAGGTTTACAGTTGATGCTGGTGTAAAATGCCCAGATAAATAAATAAAATACTCCTCATATTCAGGTAAAATACAGCCCAGATTGTACATCGCACAGATATTGTTAATTACTATTTAAAGTCATGGTCATCAAAATACAACTCTTGGTAACGTCATACTCTAAAACCGGAAGTAGCAATTAAGTAAGAACTACTTTAGTGACGTGACGTAAGTCAGTCAAATGTTGGAACAGACCAGTCACATAGGTCTAACTAATTACGTAAAATAAGGTCCGAAGTCCCATTTGTATTTGTCAAACATTGGTCATGATAATATATAATTTCAGGTAAACGAATCATACACGAATCAAATACATACTAGTCATGTTAAACCTAGATCACGTGTCAAATTCACACTACGTCATGCTAAACACAGGGACCTGATAATTTGTTACATCTATATTTAGACTTAAACTAGGATGTTTAGAGTAATATTACACGTTTGGGGAGTTGAGATTAATTTTCAGTAAAAATGCCACCCCAATACTCGTGTACCCCTCTCTCAACCATAAATGAGATGAAGTCGTAGGTTTTCTTTCATATCTTTATTCCATAGACGAGAGCCTGCAACACGAATAACGCATTGCAGGTAATTACATACAATGTATAAATGCATAAATATATACACCTGGTTACACTCGTATATATATCATCATTGGTCTTAACCCTTCAAACGTGTAAAATTTCTCTAAACACTTTGGTTTAGGTCAAAATGTAGTTGTTACAAATAATCAGGTCCCTGTGCCCCAAACGTGTAAAATAACTCTAAACACATTAGTTTATATCCAAATATAGCTGTAACAAATTCTCAGGTCCCTGTGTTCAGCATGACGTAGTCAGAATTTCTCAGGTCCCTGTGATGCTGAAAATATAGATTAATGATTATAAGACGCACACGCCATACACATATAAATATAAACGAATGGTTTAAAAATAGCTTAAATATGATAAAATATATAAACAACAATGACGTCGAATACCGTGTCATCTCAGACCGTGTTATTGTAAACAAATAGTCGAAATACAGCCATGGTTTATATATAGATGTCACATGCAAACCATAATAGTATATCAAGCACTGGTAGAATTCAGCCAAGCGTGTAATTATTAATGACGATTGATTGATTGAAGAGCTTAACGTTCTGGTGTCGGTTATAACTATATCATAAATAAACCATAACCAAGTGTAGTATGTATGTACTAGGTATTGCAATGTAAAATGTTAATTACGTCACACTTTCCTTTTAACTGTGACACAGCTACTTAACTCGAATTGATAATAATATATAACACATTTGATATAGAGCCCTATCTAGCTGGAATAAGCCACTCTAAAGCGCTTAACAGAACATAGATAAGCTAATACATTAATCAATACAATTTTGAGGATTTCGCAGGAGCTGCGGGATCAGGCGCTCACTTCTAGTCCTATGTCACCTGGCTAATACCTCCATATGAGTTCATGCCTGCGTGTGTGCTGGAGATGTATTGTGTTCTGTTTGAAACGGTATCATTTATAGTGCCACTTCACTTGAATGATACAACACAGATACTGCAACACCCACCTCAGATCCCTCCAATCCTCCTGTCACTCTATCCTCTAGAATCTTACTATAACCCTGACCCCTCCAATCCTCCTGGCATTCTGACCTCTAGAATCTTGATATAACCCTGACCCCTCCAATCCTCCTGTCACTCTATCCTCTAGAATCTTACTATAATCCCAATCCCTCCAATCCTCCTGTCACTCTATCCTCAAGAATCTTACTATAATCCCAATCCCTCCAATCCTCCTGTCATTTTGACCTCTAGAATCTTGTATAACCCTGACCCCTCAAATCCTCCTGTCACTCTGACCTCTAGAATCTTACTATAACCCTGACCCCTCCAATCCTCCTGTCACTCTGACCTCTAGAATCTTGATATAACCCTGACCCCTCCAATCCTCCTGTCTCTCTATCCTCTAGAATCTTACTATAACCCTGACCTCCTCTCCAATCCTCCTGTCACTCTGACCTCTAAATCTTACTATAACCTTCACCCCTCTAATCCTCCTGTCACTCTGACCTCTAGAATCTTGATATAACCCTGACCCCTCCAATCCTCCTGTCTCTCTGACCTCATAATCTTACTATAATCCCAATCCCTCCAATCCTCCTGTCACTCTGACCTCTAGAATCTTGATATAACCCTAACCCCTCCAATCCTCCTGTCTCTCTGACCTCATAATCTTACTATAACCCTGACCCCTCCAAATCTTCCGTCACTCTGACCTCAGAATCTGTCTTTAACCCTGACATCACTAGAGTTCTACGTCTCCTAATTACCTCGTTATGTATAAATATAATCTTAGCAGCCTTGTTGAACTAGACAGGTCGTTTCTAAGGTTAACTGTTGTCAATAAATCACGAATCCTAACCTGAAGGTCACTGTGTTATACCATCAAATTACCTTAATATCACTAGTAAAAGATAAACAACGTTTACCGGCGTTTGCTTTTGTTACGGCTGGTTATGGTAATAGCCAATGTCTATTCTTACTAAAACCCTGCATACTGATACGCACTTGTGCGCTCATCTTCTCAACGTATCCATCAAATACGTTTATTTTGATAGTAAACAGTACGAAGTTATTGAGGACAAGAACTAAATGAGTTTTTTGGCTATATGAAAAGCTTGGTGGGCAAGATTGTTAAATAAAAGGCTCCTTTGTTGGGGGCCAGACGGGGAGGGTAGTACACGTCACTTCTTAATTTGCTTTCTATCCATTAGTCTGTTTTTTCACTTTAAATGCCGTGTTCAAATTACTAGATTTTATCTCGTAATCTGACATTGGCTGTTTATCTGTCCTAGTGGCCACGCCCCTTCTATCCACCCCATTTGTAGACGACACAGCCGCTCCATTGTGCAGCATGTCGACTGCACGAGAAAGTGCAGGCTGGCTGAGACGAAACGTTAGTTCAGAACACAACGTGTAATATAAGCCTGATTCGTATACCTATTAGATATTTTCGTGATTCAAACCTGCATTGATGCAGAAGACGCCACTTGGGGTCCAGGGAACGTCTGCTAATGAAATCACGGAATTTATCGTGTCGTCTTTCTTTTGTTTAATATGAGATATATATCAATTATTATAAAAGACTTTTTATTGATTTGGGATTTGCTTGGCACATGTTTTGTATTATTTTATAATTTTTATTTTTTGTAATTATATAATAATGCCTATAGGTATTCTTCTGTCTTTGTTTTATTTGTATGCCTGTTAACAAATATAAAAGCAAGAAGAGCAAATACTCTTTCAGACGATGAACAGTTAATGCTGACGTTTGATCCGTGATCCTTAAATATAAGGCAATCTTTATTAGAATAACTATTATATGTGTACGATAGACACGCCATTAAATCGAGTTTTCTAATGATTTCCAGGCCTGTGGCGAGCCCTGTCAGCTGACGAGCCCGACCGGAAACTCGTAGAAAAGCTTCTTAAGAACTGGTGTCGACTCACCTGTATAAAGAATGGTAAAGTGACTAGCATCAAGTCATTAGTCAAAGATGACGTCCGCAAAATTGACCTTCTCCACAAGATCGAGGATTACGAGAACGCCAATGAAATGGCCCTGGCGTTGAATGCTGGGTTTGGCTTCATCGTGAAATCATGGATGAAACAACCAAGTATGATTAGTGTTAAGTATAACTACATCATAATATAAACAAATACAAATACATGACTTTATATCCACAATTACAATGTATGGTTTTATATAAACGATTGCAAAGTTTAGGTTTATATTAACATTAGAAATGTATATTTAATAATCAACAGATGTACCGGTTAGTTTCACGGACGAAATGACTTTATGGTGCAGAAAACATTTACTCTCGGTGACCTTAAGTGCTTTCTCCTTCGTTCTTCTTTGTATTACTTCATATCGACAGTTATAATAGATTATGTGTGAAATACAACAAATAATAGCTTTGTATAAACAATTGTAATGTTTTATCCATATATGCTATGTATAGTTTTATAAAAATGGTTTCATTGTATATTTTTATCAAAGATAACATTGCCTGCTTATTATCAATAGTTACATTTGATACATATATATCAATGGTTCTATTGTATAGTTATATATCAATAAATATAGTTACTTTGTATGGTTTAATATCAATGGTTTCGTTGAATGGTTTTATATCAATGGGTACTTTGTATGGTTTTATATCGAAATGGTTTCGTTGAATAGTTATATATCAATGTTTACGTTGAATGGTTTTATATCAATGGTTACGTTGAATGGTTTTATATCAATGGTTACGTTGAATGGTTATATATCAATAATTACGTTGAATGGCGTTATATCAATGGTTACGTTGAATGGTTTTATATCAATGGTTACATTGAATAGTTATATATCAATGTTTACGTTGAATGGTTTTATATCAATGGTTACGTTGAATGGTTTTATATCAATGGTTACATTGAATAGTTATATATAAATGTTTACGTCGAATGGTTTTATATCAATGGTTACGTTGAATGGTTATATATCAATAATTACGTTGAATGGCGTTATATCAATGGTTACGTTGAATGGTTTTATATCAATGCTTACATTGTATGGTGTTATATCAATGGTTACGTTGAAGATTTGTATCAATGGTTACGTTAAATGGTTTTATATCAATGGTTTCGTTGATTGGTTTTATATCAATGTTTACGTTGAATTGTTTTGTATCAATGGTTATGTTGATTTGTTTTATATCAATGGTTACTTTGTATGGTTTTCTATCAATGGGTTCGGTGAGTGGTTTTCTATCAATGGTTACGTTGAATGGTGTTATATCAATAGTTACGTTGAATGGTTTTATATCAATGGTTACATTGAATAGTTATATATAAATGTTTACGTCGAATGGTTTTATATCAATGGTTACGTTGAATGGTTATATATCAATAATTACGTTGAATGGCGTTATATCAATGGTTACGTTGAATGGTTTTATATCAATGCTTACATTGTATGGTGTTATATCAATGGTTACGTTGAAGATTTGTATCAATGGTTACGTTAAATGGTTTTATATCAATGGTTTCGTTGATTGGTTTTATATCAATGTTTACGTTGAATTGTTTTGTATCAATGGTTATGTTGATTTGTTTTATATCAATGGTTACTTTGTATGGTTTTCTATCAATGGTTACGTTGAATGGTTTTCTATCAATGGTAACGTTGAATGGTGTTATATCAATAGTTACGTTGAATGGTTTTATATCAATGGTTACATTGAATAGTTATATATCAATGTTTACGTTGAATGGTTTTATATCAATGGTTACGTTGAATGGTTATATATCAATAATTACGTTGAATGGTGTTATATCAATGGTTACGTTGAATGGTTTTATATCAATGCTTACATTGTATGGTGTTATATCAATGGTTACGTTGAAGATTTATATCAATGGTTACGTTAAATGGTTTTATATCAATGGTTTAGTTGATTGGTTATATATCAATGGTTGCGTTGAATGATTTTATATCAATGGTTACGTTGAATGGTTTTATATCAATGGTTACGTTGAATGATTTCATACTAATAGTTATATATCAATGGTTAAATTGAATGGTGTTATATCAATGGTTACGTTGAATGGTTTTATATCAATGGTTACGTTAAATGGTTTTATATCAATGGTTTCGTTGATTGGTTTTATATCAATGTTTACGTTGAATTGTTTTGTATCAATGGTTATGTTGATTTGTTTTATATCAATGGTTACTTTGTATGGTTTTCTATCAATTGTTACGTTGAATGGTTTTATAACAATGGTTACTTTGTATGGTTTTATATCAATGGTTACTTTGTATGGTTTTATATCAATGGTTACTTTGTATGGTTTTATATCAATGGTTACGTTGAATGGTGTTATATCAATGGTTTCGTTGAATGGTGCTATATCAATAGTTACGTTGAATCGTTTTATATCAATGGTTACGTTGAATGTTTTATATCAATGGTTACGTTAAATGGTTTTATATCAATGGTTTAGTTGATTGGTTACATATCAATTTTTTCGTTGAATGGTTTTATATCAATGGTTACATTGAATAGTTATATATCAATGTTTACGTTGAATTGTTTTATATCAATGGTTACGTTGAATGGTTTTATATCAATGCTTACCTTGTATGGTGTTATATCAATGGTTACGTTGAAGATTTATATCAATGGTTACGTTAAATGGTTTTATATTAATGGTTTAGTTAATTGGTTATATATCAATGTTTTCGTTGAATGGTTTTATATCAATGGTTACATTGAATAGTTATATATCAATGTTTACGTTGAATGGTTTTATATCAATGGTTACGTTAAATGGTTTTATATCAATGGTTACATTGAATGGTGTTATATGAATGGTTACGTCGAATGGTTTTATATCAATTGTTTCATTGAATGGTTTTATATCAATGGTTACTTTATATGTTTTTTTATCAATGGTTTCGTTGAATGGTTTTATATCAATGTTTTTTTTTGTATGGTTTTATATCATTGGTTACGTTGAATGGTGTTATATCAATGGTTTCGTTGAATGGTTTTATATCAATGGTTACCTTGTATGGTGTTATATCAATGGTTACGTTGAATGGTTTTATATCAATGGTTACGTTGAATGGTTTTATATCAATGTTGACGTTGAATGGTTTTTATATTAATTGTTACAATGTATGGTTTCATACTCATAGTTATATATCAACTATTACAGAGCAAAGAAAAAAAGATAATCCATCGTTTTTTATCAATATTAACACATCATATTTTTATATCAAATATTTATAAAAAGTTGCATACGTTTGTCAGAAGCAAACTATTTCTTTCAGTTTATTTGGATTACATGTCTCGTACCTGATATTTAGTGCGAGCTACATTAAAACATCTCGTCGGTCAGATAACACCTGCTATTAATAAGTGTTATTTACCAAACCCATGTACACTGCTGTAAGGTAAAACACTGACTACTTGTGTTTTGTGTTTGAAAGGTACGGAACTGATGAAGTCGGTCGATCCAAACACGTCGGATTACTCTTACCAATATAACTTCCCAGACTCACCGGAAGTGCCGCGCCCCCTGCTGGCGGCGGCCTGGGAGACAAACAGCTACGAAACTGTTGACGTCCTCATGGATATGAAGCCAAACACAAGAGCGCTTTACTCAAACGAACCAGAAACCGTAAATCCACCTAAACCGCTATTTTTTCAGGTAAGAATAGGAGATAGGATGTTGAAAATGTTACAGAAAGACAGTGCTTGTATCAACACCAGTTTTACCTTAGACGTTCTTGTTATCAGTTCCGAAGATGAAAACAAATAAAAGTGTCACTGTTTCCACTCATATTTAGATAATTCAGTAAAGCTTTGTAGCTTTGTAAGCTTGTTTCATATTTATTTTCCTGAAATTCTTCTTAGCCATTTTCAGCAGAGTCGTTTAAAACGGTATAGGAATTTCTTTAAGGTCATGTGATTGTGCAGACTGAATTTTGATTAGTTGCTAATGAGTTCAATTTCTACTTGAAACGAATTCGGTCTTAGATACGGAAAGAATATTGTAACATTTTTTATTGCAGCGTACATAGTAATTTGAAGCCTTTGGATATCGAAGTGCTTCCGATTCAAATTTGTGCTCGTCATGCATCATGCTTTCCCCTTGATATTTAAGAAGGAGACGTTTCTTCCCGTTTAAGGATCAGCGGTTGTTTATGAAAAATCTGTCTATAATCTTTCAAAATTTGAAAGATAACCTTGGCTTTGTTTCAGCTTGTGTGTGGAAATTCAGTCCCCGCGGATGATCGAATCCCCCTGAGGATATTCCGAGGTTCTGACCTTCAAGCAAGGGACAGCGAAGGACAAACGATTCTCCACAAAGTAATAGAATATCAAAAACCAGAAAATACTTTCCGCATTTTAATGACATATGGTGCTGATATTGCAGCACGTGACCGTCACGGTCGCACGGCACGTGATTTAGCCTTAAAATTAAACAGACCCGAATATAGCACATGTGTCGATGAACACATCATAAAACTTGTGAAAGACAAAAAGTTTGATGACATTGAGAGACTTATACTCCAAAGCTACGACCAGCTTTTGAATGTCACGGATAGCTCCAAACGGACAATGGTCGAAATCGCAAAGAAATATGGCAATCGTCACATCTATGAAGTAGTGAAGCTGTCAGCTGCCATTCAGGTGAGTAATTTATAAGTTTTAAAAAGTTTGTCTTTATTTTGTGTTTTTGTGTTTTTCTTCTTCTTCTTCTTCTTCTTCTTCTTCTTCTTCTTCTTCTTCTTCTTCTTCTTCTTCTTCTTCTTCTTCTTCTTCTTCTT